TTTTCCCCGCAGGTTTGGGTATTTTTATCGAATTTTTGTTTTTTGGTTCAACACCTTTCATGCCCATTAAAAAGTACATTTCTGCGTGGATTTTATTGAAAAAGGTTGATTAAAGGCAGAACAAAATGTAAATTTTCAGATTTTATGGGCTCTCAAGCTAAGGAAATAACTCAACTTTGGAGGCCATTTTCTCACTAATTTGACCTCTGAAACCAGATGACCCTCACCTCCTTCAATCACATATATCTCGATTTCTATTCAACACATATGGATATTATTTTCACCTAAAACAAGGAAAAAGGATAGGTCTTAAGATGATACCATCAACTCCGTTTGCCCCAAAATTGACGAAAGCCTGATTCCACCGCGTCGTGCCACATATATTTCAAATTCTTATGTGAACATTAACTTCAAGTAACTAAAATGAACTTTTTGGAACACAAAAAACTTGTTTTGCCAATCTCTGAAGCATATGAAGCGAAGATGTAGTTTTTACCGATATCTTTGGTGTGGATAGCCTTGTACAGTTTCTTCTGCAGTGCTGATAGACCGTGATAGAGAACCACGTTCGACTTCTCTGGGAGATCAGCAAGAACAGTGGACTTTGTACGTCGCAGGAAGTACGGCTTCATCAGTAGGTGCAGTTCGCTCACATCTGAAAACATAATATGTTGTAGAATGACTGTTTTTCTCACTTATATCTGAAAGTATCAGTTGAATTACTAGACTTTCTCACTCATGTCAGAAATTGTAAGCCAGATAATATTATGATTAGACTTTTCATTAGATAATCTGACTTTCTGACTCACATCAGAAAGCATCAGTTAGATACTTAGACTGCCTCAACCACATTTCTAACTCACATCTGAAAGTATCAGTTGAACAATTCGCCAATCAGATGCATCTTTTAAAAAAACTGAAATAATTCATTCACAAAAAATCATTGCACTGAAATAATGCTGAGGTGACAATGTCAAAATCTCTCAAAATAAATTGCAGGGATACAAATGCTTGTAATATACGCTCTCTGGCACTTTGAGTGTGAGAAGCTTCAGTCAACTGCCACACTAAACTAGACAGAGAACACAGAAGGAAGGGAGGCCAGAGGAGGAGGAGAATAAAAAGACAGTAAAGTCAAAGAAAAAGAACAGCATAAAGAACAATAACAACAACAAGAGCAAATAACAAAACAACAACAACCAAAGTAAAACAACAACCACTACCAAATTCCTCTGCTCACCCTGGCTCTCCCGTGAATACTTCTCCACAAACCGGTCCAGACGAGAAGGTTTGAACTTGGAGCAGTCCACAAAGCTGAGCAGAGCGTAGAGCTCTCGTAGATTGTTCTGAACTGGAGTGCCGGTCAGCAAGATTCTGGATGCAACATCCCACTGAAGCAAAAATACCAATGAAGACTCCGTTATAGCTTGTTCACTTTTGTCTTACTTGTCTTACTTACTTGTCTTACTTGTCCACTGTGTCGGGGTCACTGCAGTCGGAACATGTCCATCTCTGCTCTCCCCCCCTCTTCAGGATCCATCCCAGAGTCTGTCTGCTTATAGTCTCCATCATAATCTGGTCGGAGATCCGTTGGACTGGTTCGCACAGATGGTTGTGTTTCCCCTCTCCTCTTAGGATCCCCTTCTCCTTCAATCTACCTAGAGTGTGGGAACCGCTATCCGCCCTATTCTTCCTCAAAGTTTCCCTTACAGCAGTTAGGACGGTTGGTGGGTCCAGTGTCAAATTTCCTCCCACTTTTGCTTCTCCAGCCAGCTTGTCTGCTCTCTCGTTGCCGGTTACCCCCGCGTGGCCCTCGCAGAAGATCCAGGCCACTCTTTCCAGGCTGCTCTCCCTGATCGTAGCCTTCCAGTCTGCATACAGCATCCCTTTCTGTACCTTCTGTAGTGAGCTCATTGAGTCAGTAATGATTACTGCTCGCTGATGGATTGTGTTCTTGATCCAGTGTAGAGCCTCACTTATGGCTTTTATCTCCTTACACATACTTGATGTTGTCAGTGCAGTTGTTCCACTTTGCTCTTTCATTACTACCCCATCAACTCTGACACTGAAGGCCCAGCCCAATTTGACTCCTCAGTTGACTGATCCATCCTTGAAGATCACAGCATCTCCATGTTCACTATGCTCTTCTATCAGGGTTTCAATTTCAGCGTTTGTAGCTCCAAGTGGCCAGTTGTGACATTCTCTACCCAATGTTGCTTTCACTGTTGTGTATTCTCTGAGCGCACCTTCGACCACAATCCAATCCCTGCCTCTCCTGATGTCTTGTATCTGGTAGCACTCGTTGCCGGTGTTCGTGGCTTGAGTCATCCATTCAGTGCCCCTCATTAGTTTTGATGTCATCTGCCATCCACTTTTGTCAGTCCACGGTCAAGTGGGGATAAAAATAAATCTCTCAGCTTAATCTTCTCATTGCTTTGAATGGGACAGGTGAGTGAGCACTTTTAGAAACTCATGTGAAGACATCTGGGCAGTCTTGGAAGAAAATATACAAGCTTACACTAAAATGTTGGGGCACAGTGGTGTCACTGTCTCAAAATGAATCATTTGCAGGCTAGATTACCGCAACTTATTTTTTGTAAAGATCCTGTGTATGCACTCAAAGGGCTGTGTTTAAATACAGGGCCCAAATAAAGAAACTTTTTTGTTATGGGATCAGATTTTGCGAAAAATTATTTTTGCATGGTTGTTTGTTTAGAGATGTACCATAAAAAGATACAAGTTCAGTAGCTAATTAATAAATGAGCTAGAATTTTTTTTATGTGGACAGGCCAGAGTGAACAAGCTTCCGTTACAGTATTTTTGTTGTTGGACCACAAGCAGAGCAGCAGCTTTAGATAAGTCTTAAAGGGAAGCAAATCAAATTGAAAACAAGGTTCAGTTCAAATCACGGCTCAGAATATTCATAATGGACTTTAAGTGCTTATTGTTTTCATTGAAGCTTTACACAAAAATATCAAACGAGATATTTTCAGTTGCGAAAATTTCCTCTCAACTCAGTGCCCCATTCGAAAAACAAATACTTTCCCTCCTAAATAATTTAAGATTTCTTGTAAAAACTGAGAAGGCAAGAGTAAGCACTAAAGTCTTGGTGATGCTCACCTCCTCCAGGGTCTTGTAGAGAAGAGATTCCACGTTCTTCAGCCGATGGCCTTCATCTACGACCAGCACACACCATGGGATCTTCATCAAGGTCAGGTAGTCTTTCATACATATCTAGAATGAATGACACACAGTAAACACGCTCTTTTGACTTTAACCCGGGCTTGCTCACTTTTTTAAAAACCCAGTCAGGGACACCCAACGCTATGACATCAAATTACGTTACAACAAAATTATATCAAGTGGGACTGGTTAAAGTGCACTGTAGTAAATGTCCTCTCAAATTCCACAGTTGTAGAATCCAGGACAGTCCTGTGAAATTCTGGACAGTTAGCAAGCTTGCTAACCCATTGTTCGGTAAGGCCATTTCCAGAAAGTACTACCCAGCATTTGGGCATTTTACAGTTCTCTAGTAAATAGATAAACAAACTGAGGTAGTATCAGGAAAACTCCTATAGCTCTGATATCAAAAGATTGAACCCAACCACCTCATACAAATTAAGTATATGTTCTAATAAATATAACTGAATATTGAATGATATAATGTAATTTTACATATCAATCAACATGAATTAATGTCGTCCTTAAACAAAAGACAAAAATCTCAAAGCAACCTGGCATGAGATAAGATAACTGAGCAAAGTCTATATACATATATGTATTAAACTCTCAAGCCAGGTTTTGAGCTAATTACTGTTGAGGTGAAGGCATTTCTGGTCATACAAAAGATGATAATAAAGCAAAAAGAGAAGATCGGAAAACAAATCCAATAAAGAAAAAAGACCTTATGCAGTTGCGAGCGCCGTAAAACCCTGTACTACTACTACTACTAAAAGAAAAAAGAATTTATCACAAGCTGAGAACAAAAACAGCAAAAACCTCTCTAGCTATCAATTAACTTTTTCAGTGGTCTTAAGCTTGACAGAGTATGTGCTTCTCCCCCACCACAGTCCCATGTACATAAATACCTCATATGTAGTGAGCAGCACATCAAATCCAAACTTGGACCTGTTCTGTGATCGTTGCATAGTCAGAGCAATTTTAGCTCTTTCTTCCTTATTGCCAAAGTAGACAAGGACCTCAAGGGAAGGGCTAAACCTGCAGGAAAAATTTATTTTTTTTCAACTAGGACATCAAAGCTCAAATAAAACTTAAACATCAGAACATCTAGTTCTTTTTCACAGTTTCAAGTGTTTGTTTCAACATCACTCCTCCACTACTTCCTCTCTCCCACCAACTTCCTATTTAGTTCCTCCACCTTTGTCACAATTACTTATTAAACTGTACAAATTATAACCAGTTTGACATACCGAACAAAATCTTTACACTGCAAAGCAGTTTTTTTCATCACTCTCATTTAATTATTATTATGAAAATGATAACAAAAATAAAGTTCCAGATCAGCAAGACAAAAATTCAAAGCATGACAATGATGATGATGATGAAGATGATGATGATGATGATGCTTATTTTTTTGTATGTTCCTGATGAAGCCCTTTACCGGGCGAAACGTTGAACCTTTAAAAATGCTGGAAATTCTACCAGTCTCAACCCTTATTTTATTCCTTGCTGTTTACAACGATGATGATGATGATGATGATGATGATGATGATGATGATGATGATGATGATGATGATGATGATGATGATGATGATGATGATGATGACGATCACTCCTGTTAAAGCCTTCTGGGGGAAATGTTGAACATTTATTTAAAAGCAAAAATGCTTTTATTAACGTTTACTGACTGAAAATGTTTCAAGACTACTTCCTTATTCTGCTTTTTCCACAATGACGATGATGATGAATATCATAATGATGATGCCAGTCATGACACACAAAAAAACAGGTAAAGAAAAAAGGACAGTGATGATAATGATAATGAAGAGTAAGATGACATCTACTACAAAAATATATATCGTCTATGGGATTCACAAACCGGCTACATGCAGAAAGGCAAATTTTACAGGAGGGACAAAAAACTGATTATTGTTAAAAACGCGCAGCACAATCTTTCATATTTTTATACAAAAGGTTAAGTTATTAGTGTTGGGACCAAATAATACTTGATTTTTCTTAAATACCACAACCGATAGTTTTATTCCGCATGTAGCTGGTTATGGAATCACACAAAATGTGCAGGGCAATGCAGGTGGCCGGTTCGCGCAGGACGCTTCCCCGCACAGCCGTGACACGAGGCGGCATGTAGCCGGTTAGGCGCAGCTGTGTGCTACTGTTCACCGTCATTATAAGTATAGGCCGAGATCTACATGGACGATGGCGAGTTATAGTATTTAAACTAATTGATCTATCTTAAAAAAAGCTGACTGGTTCAAACTGGGTTCGAATCTTAAACTGGTCGATTCATAACAAAATGCTTTAGATTAGAATGACAAGTTCAGTGCTTTGACTGGTCCTTTATCAGTAAATTAATAAACCCTGGTTACTGGGAGGTGTGGGTTCAAACTTTGTTACCTGTCGATTCATGACGGAGATTTTAATAAGTTTAACATCCAAGCTGCTCTCTCGCCTAGTATTTTACATTATGTGACCAGTACTAGGAGAAGTCGTCGACCCGGTGTTTTTTTGATTGAGTAGGTGTTTTCGGCACTATCGACTCAATTTTGGTCATTTAAGTGCCAACCAACCCGGTGTCTGAAGTCCAATACTGAGAACATGTACAATGGTTATGGTTCAACGCCCTATCAACACTTTTAGGTTATTCAAGGGGAAAGGGGGGGGGGGGGGGGCTATAGCTGCCCGTGTTGAAATTAAGCTGTACTACGTGAAATATCCTAATGTGCCAGGTCATCAATTGTTTGACTAGAATTGTTAATAAGAAGACTTCTCTGTGTTTACAAAAAAAATCAAACAAAACCCCAAACCAACCCAAATTAAGTTGTTTAAAAAGCCAGGATAATACTTTTTTTTGAGTATTTGTCTGAGAAACCTCCATTTTTGTTTGATATCCCCCAAGGGCAGGGCCTTGGTATGGCACACGTGGTCTCGGGGCTCTAATGTGGATCGGGAGGTTATTGGTTCGATTCTCGGCTGAATTATAATAACATTTAAAATTTGGTCACTTTGCATCTTATTGTCTTGGGCATGATTGAAAGAATATTTGTCACCAGTATCGTTTGATTGCACCTAGGTGGACTCATTTCTTCCTGTGCATTATCTTTCATCATTTCTCACGCTTCAGTTCCTATATCATAATAAATAACGAAACAGTGTAAGCTATATAAACGAAAAAAATCACATTTGAATTCAACGATTGTGAGTCTCTACCCTCCCTATGAGCATTGTTCGGTGCTAGTCAGTGGACAGAGCATGGTAAAATGGATGGTAGTCAACTGGCATGACCTCTTACGCCGTTTGGACATTTTAGTATTTCTCCTTTGTTTCATTTTCCTGGAGCTATTGTAGACATGCGTTAGGTCAACCAGCTCCCACTTTGGTTGGTTTGACCTCTTGGGAGAATTTGGTGGGGCTCACCTCCGTGACTCATCAGGATACACCTCCAGTCCGTCACCGACTTTCCTGCTGGGTTCGAAATGGTTGGAATTGCTCTTGTAATCCTGAAAGTCGTTGGTGTTGCAGATATTTTACTTGGTATGGATGGGGTTTGAGCCTGATGACTGTGTTTTATGGACGTACTGGGCTGACACATAGGTAGGGGAGTCTTCAACCTCCTATTGATACAATTGAGCTCGGAAACCCACTTCCGTTTGTAAGATGCTCCTTTTCTGGTATTCTTTGTTCAATTTGAACCCTGTTTCTAGCACAAAAAGAAGCGGCTTTGTCGAAGTCGAATATTGGTTTTGGTATGTCCAATCATCACCGTATAAGAGTTACTTTTGGCAGCCAGGATTCCTTTCAGAAAGTTGATTATGTACGTTGTAAATTCGTTGTCTCTGCCAGACGAAGCCCACCACATCGTTCTTAACAACGTTGTAGAACGTAAAATGATGCACCGCCATTTTAATCTTGTAATACAGAGAAGACGTATTGCTTCTTTGTGCCAAAGGAACAACTGGCACGTTTTTGTCATCTTCACCTAAGGATTTGATGGCCTTGTCGGCTGTGGCTTTCTGTTTGTTTCTTCACACTTTCAAAGTTTCAACCAAGCGTGTTCATGCACGTTGCCACATTAATCACGCAAACATCGCAATGATACTGACGAGGGCAGAACAAAGCCAAGTTGAGCTCGTCGAAAATTTGCTTCACCAAAGGGAGCGTTGCTCCATTTCTGTATACTCTGACGTGTAGAGCCATTACACTTCAGTGAAACTTTGGAAAGGGGGCCTCAAGGTACATCTCAGTTGAGCCATACAGTAATGTGATGATAGTCGTGATAACTTGTTGAAGAACCACTCAACACATGGGATACATCGGCCACACGTGCATTCATGTTTGAAAGCTCGTTCATCGCCCAGTTCCTAACACATCATATTCCAAAGTCCGATGGTTGACATAAAGAACTGTCAGCAAACTTTCTCTGCAAACTGTCAGCTACTTTGTTGAAAATACCTGAATGCGCTTTATTTTCTGAACCTTTGGTCTCTTCAGACCATCTTGATTCAGACGCAGAAAACACTTCCCCCGATCACATCATCTTTTTTTAATGAATTACAAATGTACACTTCTGTACCCATGTGAGTCTCCATACTGCTTTTAAAAAATCTGTCTCTTTCCTTATAACTGAATTCGTCACAATGGTATCTATTATTCTGACAAAAGCATCTTTTTGGATTTGTTGTGCTATTCTAGCTTTTGTTATTCCAGCCTTTTGGTCTCATTTCGTTTCCAGTTGTGCTAGTCAATCTGTTACTTTCGAGAAGACAGTCCCCAACTAAGATCAGTTTTACCATTTCCTTCTTCCATTCCTCTTTTAACCACCTCCCTGCCGCACTTGTCCATAATCTTGCCGCAAGAATCCATTCCTTCAGGATACATCACACATGCATTCCGCCGCATTCCAATTCTATGCCCATTAATTCCCTCATGATTGCTGTCTACAGCTGTAGGGATCTCTGGCAATAGTCTAAAGAAAAATCTCAAACTCAGGGTCATTCTTAAGAAGACCATTGATACTTTCTGAAAGTGAAATGTTCAAAACACCATGGTGAAGCGGAGTCGATGACGATAGCCATGGGCAATACCGTGGCTCCATGATAGAGGTGAATCGTGGATAATTTGCTGGAGTGCACTTGCCATCATCCGCGGTCTTCTCCAATGTCTTTGCCAGACTCAGCTGTACCAGGCATCTTCCTCGAGATAAGGGATCCATCATGTATCCTCAGCCAAGAAAGTGGTATTTGAAAAGGACTAGCATTAATTATAGAAGAACAGCATTAACGTGGATGAACCATTCTGTAAACCTGACAAAGATGACTTGTTCTTGGTCCTTTCTTCACCAATCGTGAATCATAGATGACGCCAACGGAGGTTTTTGCCTAGAATCACTCTCTCTGCTAAATATATCTCTGGCATAATAATACTAAAACCAGATATTTGAATAGATAGCTTTATTGATGCGTGATAAATGAATCGTAAGAAAATGATGTATGCCAGAGTATAGTATACACCACGACTGAAACGTTTAATTTTGCGAAGAGACCAATGAATAATATCAGTTCACACCCATGGTCACAGCGTAAGATAATTCCAAGAACAAAAAGGATTGCATCCAGAATGTCAACAATGAAATAGTAACAATAAAGTGCATATTATTATTTAAATATTTTCTGTAATATTCATAGTATTAGTTTTGTATTACTACTTCTGCTGCTGCTGCTGTTGCTTCGAACTGCCAGTACAAGGTCTACTTCTGCTGCTGGTGCTGCTGCTGCTGCTGATGATGATGATGGTACTACTACTGCTACTACACTACAGCTGCTCTGCTGCAGCTAAACACTAGAGTGTGTTACAATACAACAATTAATGAAGAAGAAGAAGAAGGAGAAGGAGAAGGAGAAGGAGAAGGAGAAGGAGAAGAAGAAGAAGAAGAAGAAGAAGAAGAAGAAGAAGAAGAAGAAGAAGAAGAAAAAGAAGAAGAAGAAAAAGAAGAAGAAGAAGAAGAAGAAGAAGAAGAATAGGAAGAAGAAGAATAGGAAGAAGAAGAAGAAGAAGAAGAATAGGAAGAAGAAGAATAGGAAGAAGAAGAAGAGAGCTTGTTGTTGAGGTGCGGGACCATAATGTGGCTGGAACTCTATATAGATCTTTCATGTTCTTATGTCTCATCTAGATGCATAAATTAGTTGACAAATCTAATCTAGTAAATCGAATCACACAAATGCTTTATATTACAAGTCACTTCATTGTTGACTATAATATTATTTATCTCGATGAACACTGATAACAGTTTAAAATTCTGTCTAGTTCAAGAGAAAAAAAAGCGTACGGAACAGTCGGGGTGATGCGCGGCGGGGAAGCATGAAGCCGGTTTTCGATGACACGTGTCAACGCGTGTCGCGATGGTCTGCTGAAACCGAAGCGGCTATGTACATGGCCGGTTTGGCAATCCCATTTTTCTATCAGCTGCAGGTGTCCGTTTTGGAAAGTCTCAATGAAAACATATTTCTAGTTTTTTTTCAAACCTAATATTTATTGGGGACACGTATTAGGCTATTTACTATTCATTAAGCAAATTTTTAAAAGTTTGAAATTTTTGCATGTAGCCGGTTTGTGAATCCCATCGACGATATATCACTACTAGAATATTCTGCTTCTTTATACCTCCGAAACTCTTGTTCCCAATTTTCTAGTACTGTTCTAGGGCATACAACCAGATGTGGTTTAGATGAATTTTCCAGTCCTTTGATCACACTCAACATAGCAATTGTCTGCAGATTGAAAAATAATTAATTAGGAATGAGTTAAAAGCATTTTTCTTTCAATTCTTGGCCTTAACACATGGTCATTAAAGACTGTTAAGAAGCAACAGTGTTATAGCTGCCTCAGTTGTCAGAGAGCTTCGCTCAGTCTGTGACTACCAAAATAAAAGCTACCAGTTTCGCCTGACTAGCATCCATGGTGTGATAGTTAGGCGCTCCGCTGTCCCATGCTGGAGACAGAGTTCGATTCCCAAGTGGGGAAAATTTATATTTATTGGGTGTCTCTTTCTTTCTGCTGAGATGTTGTATCCTGACAGGTAAGGTCAAAGCCTGTCTCGTAAATGATCTAAATTTTGGGGCGTTAAAAACACCTACATTAATTTTCCTTCAAAGTTTCACATGGGAAAGAAAAGTGAACAAGTTATCTAACATTTTTATCAAACTTCTCAAAATATCAACTTAATAATTCACCAGTCATGAACCACCTCTACAATATACATTTGGAAAATCCATAGTATAAATATACATTTGGAAAATCCATAGTATAAATATACAGTCGAACCTGTGTAAGACGGCCACCCATTGTCAAGGAGAAAAGCGGCCGTATAAGACAGGTGGCCAGCAGGTTCGACTGTATATTGTAGTGGGCCTCACATCAGTTCATTTAACTTTTCATGAAACTCACTTTTTTCAACATAAGACAACAGAACAGAGGAAGCTCAATCATCTTCTATTTAATTATGCTTGCCATTAGACAAAAAAAAGATCAGAACACTTGGCCTGCTTATAATAATATTACAAATCACAATAACAAAAACATACCCAGAAAGAAGAGGAACAGAATATTGGAGATAAGTACACAACATACCTGACAAGTTTTCCCCAGTCCCATCTCATCTCCCAAGATGCAGCCATGTCCATCACCATGACAACCAAGCATCCAGTTAACGCCCTCCAGCTGGTATGGCCGCAGCTCTAGATCTGAGCGTCAACATTTTGTAAAATTGTAAAAAAGGACGAACTTTCTAGTATAGACATTGTGTAGACATTTGTGATTTTTACAATTATAACAAAAAAGCAAAAATACATCATTTAACCAAACACAATTATATAAAATTATTTCCCCTCCTCCCCCGATCTTGGTCATGAATAGAGGTGGATATTCAAGTTAATTTCATTACTCATACAACAACTTTTAGTGCATTGATTATCATTACTATAACTTTCAACTGATTATTCAGAATTTGACGTATCTCCAATGAGCATCAGAAAGTTCTACTTTATCATAAGTGACGCCTGGTAACACCTCTAATGTTCGGCACTTTTATATGACCTATTTGTCTTGAAAGTGATGTACATCCTCCATCTCGTCATGAAAAAATAGCTCAAAATACGTTTGCAAACAAAGCATTCTGAACCAAAGTCAATGTCTGGACTTCAACTTCAGTGCTCCATTGTGCACGGTGGTGCTTTTCTATCCTCTGCAATGTCCGGCACCACACTGGCAAGAAAACATTTTCTTCAAAGTGACATGAAACTGGTAAAGGTGTCACACGGAGCATGTCATTCAGCCTCTTTGTGTATAAAAATTTGTCACGAAATCGGTACCATGACATGCAACTGGCTCCCTGCCATGGAATTGGCCCCTAACCAAGCAATTGGGTCCTATATTTACGATAAAATTTCCATCATTACAATATCGTCTTCACTTCAAGAGTACACATACTTACCACTCCATTCATACTTCTCTTGAAGAGTCTCCTGATCAATCTGTGCTGCCATGACTTCACTCTACCTCGTTGCTTAAGAACTGTGGATGTAAAATTGTAATTAGATTCTATTTTTTCAGTCATCACTTTGATTCCTTTCTTTCACTATCAAACTGAGTAGATACTACCTGGGGGCTCTCATGGCCTAGATCTAGAAGTTAAGGTGTCCGCCTCTCATTCAAAGATCCCGGATTCAAATCCGTGTAGCGACCGAAAAATTTTCTTCTCTAAAATTGTTTCCTTTCACCTCCTTTCCTGCTCTCTGGCAATGTTCTGCCGTCTGCTTTCGTCTCCAATTTCTGCCCCCACCCCCTCACCTCCTTTGCCCCCTTCTCTGGGCTCCCGACTCTTTCTGCAGTCTTTCTACTACTGCTACTCCTTGCTCCTTGGCTCCTTTTTACTGAGCTGTCTTTCAGCCACACATCCTGATCTTCTCGGAAAAGGGTGAAAGATCTCGGAGCTCCAGTGTGCAAGTTGCGCACGTTAAAGATCCCTTGGTGGTCTAAAATCGATAAGAGTAGGCTTCGGCCGCCACCTGGGAAAAATTCAAAATTTTCTACCAACTGAAAATGTTTAGGGAGTCCCACACGCTCATATGACCTTAAGCAGTTGCGAGCGCCATAAAACACTTACAACAACAACATTATACTTTATATCATAAAAATCAAAGTTTCATTTTCTCAAAAAAATGTCAGGACACAGTAGAATCTGGGGTCGTCAGTTTTTTCTATAAGCCTACTTATTTGTCTTACTTTCAATGAAAAATTATAGTCATCTTATATCTAGATCTATTATATCTTGAATAGAAATTGAGATAATTGTGATAGACGGAGGTAGGGGTCGCCAGGTTTCAGAGGTAAAAGTAGCAAGAAAGTTCGGTGACTTCCAAAGCTAGAGTCCTTGCAGTGAAAACAGCAAATTTTCATTTTTTGCGACTCTTATCATCATTTTTCAGTAAAACGGCATACTAGCTAGATCTAGATCTAATTAAAATCGTAATCTACTATCTAGATCTAGATAGATTATACAGTGGAACTCGGATTCAACGAGCTCGGATTCAACGAGAACTTGGATTCAACGAGAGGAGATAGATTCCCTGGGGGTTTTTTCTTCTTTAAAAATCAATAAAAATAAGGCCGACACTATTTCTCCGAACATTCGGGAAAATAAAGCTGGGCACTATTTCTCCGAACACTCTGAAATCACATCCTTTCCCGCAAATTTCGGATATTATATAGAGTAAAGGCCTACCAAAGATTGTTCGTATACAATATGGTTCAATTGGTCCAAAAAAGTCTGCAGTAAATATTTATAAAGAAATGCTACAGTTCCAAACAGTTTTTCGCTACAAATATGACGTGTTGCCTATGAAGAGTGCTGCTCTTAAACTTAATGTGTTGTGTTCACTCGTGTGCTGTCTAGATCTAGATCTACGGAGGGTTATTGATAACGACACATAGAACTAGCTTCTGCGTTTGTCGCGGCCGCGACCAATCAATCGTGGCTCGATTTTTTGGTCGGGGAATAAAAGTCAAATTTAAAAAAAAAAGAAAAAAAAAATGAAAGAAACCAAAACCTCTTCACTTTTGAAAGAAAGTTCACTTAGCTTCACTAGTCTCTTTCTCACTTGTCACCACGTTGATTTGTTGAATACGTTAGTTACTTTTATTTGCCCTCTTTGACTCTTTGTGGTGTTTTATTTTGTTAGTGTGTAATTTTTTTTCTTGTTACTGTTCTGATGTGTTGTTTTTCTACCATTTTTTTGTGGGGAAAGGAGGGGGGGGGGTTGTTGCATAGTGTAACGTCATTTAATTTGATGCTCCTTCCTTCATTAGATTCTAAATATATACATGTATACATATAGATTTAAATGTTTTATGTTAGAGCGTACGTTCCACCAAAACCGATTACATGTACCGACACTGGCAGGCCCCTTAATGTGTGTGATTCCATAATTTACATGTGATGTAATATCCTGTACTTTTTTTTTAAAAATTTACGCACTTTTAGGGTTAAAACAGGCAATTTTCTTCGGACAGGTTGACACACAGCCTTATTTGTTTATTTTTGTGGTTGTTTATGGGCTGTTCGACTAATTTTGATTTCATTCTGTTGTGAAACCTTTCTTTTTCACGTTTTTACACTCATCTAAAAATCTCTAGACTAGCTCTTGAAAATTGAAATAGATATAGACCCAAAAATTTGCTCCTGTGTGTGTGTGTGTATGTGTGGGTGTGTGTGTGTGTGTCTGTGTGTCTATTCATGTGCGTGTGTGAGTGTGTCTGTGTGTGGTAGTAAGTGTGTAAGTGGAGAGTGAGGAGTGTGTGTGTTTTTCAGGCTTTATTTCTGCCTTTAATCAGTAACAGTTAAAAGTATACAAAAATAGAAACACAGGATCTATTCACTCCAGGGCTCATGAGTCGTTCCTCTCTTTCAGTTTCACTCATTCGTTCAATTCCCGTGTTCTCTCCCGCGGCTCATCCCTGTCCTCATGACTTTCACACCCCACCCCCTCCCTCCAGGCACACACAAAGAAAATCTCACTCATTCCCTTGCACCCTGCGAACCATGGGGGGGGGGGGGGGTCGGTGTCGTCGTCTTGTAGTTGCTGTCGCCTGTGGATACACTCATAAATTCTACCTTTCACCCGCTCTGTCACTCACACTGTCTCTCCATCCACATCTCAGCTCGTCATACGTTCAAAAGTTGCCCACTGAGCATGTTTAGTTAGTGTGTGTATAAGTTTTGTGTGTGTGCATGTGCATGATGGTGGTGGGTGTGTGGTGGGTGTTACTGAAGGTTGTATGTAGGCGGGCTTGCCATGCGGTTCCCAGACCAGAGGCAGAATGAAAGTTGGCGTCGAACTCTCGCAATAAATAGGCAAAAAATCACGAGACTGGGAACCGGAAACCGTTCGGAGAAATAAATATCGGCACTATTTCTCCGAACGTTCGGATTCAACGAGCATTTAAATCAGCGAGCTCGGATTCAACGAGGTCGCTTCCAGGGTGAAATGCCCCCGCAGACGTGGCTTCACTCATTTTTCTCCCAGAACAAACTTTTTCTATTCCCTGAAACCATCCATTGCACCTAATCAGGAGCAATTATTCACTTTCCGATAGCATGCAACCAATCAGCGGCGTTTTTCCATACCAACACATATGTAGTTGGCACGCGCACACGTCTACTCTGGCATGCGTCGGGGTCAGATGGGCGGCCTGCACACGGGTGACTGAGTGTGCGTGTCGGGGAGGGGGGGGGGGCACCATCGCAGATACAAACGCGTTTAAGTCTTTTTCCCCCTCGGCATGTGATCATTATTACAAGCTAATCTTGACGTATCTAATCTATGTAATGAATTGTGCGTTGGTCTATGGAATCAAAAGTTGCGGTATGCTAGGCTCTACACAGCAACACAACATTTTGGCAAACAATCAAGATGACACAGGCGAGCATTTGAACGAATCAGTCTTTTTTTTTACTCAGCTCATGCAGGCATTTCAGGTTCTAGCGTCCACTTGTTACTTTTCTTTACACATTACTTGCTCAGTGCCTGTAATTATCAACACAAAGCCTCATGTTTGCTATAACAAACACTCGGATTCAACGAAGTTTTAGGTCAGACCCGGCGACCTTGTTGAATCCGAGTTCCACTGTCTACAGTCTACACATACAGTAGGCTACAGTAGGCCTAATAATATATAGATTCTATATACACAGTACAGTAGATTTAATAGAAATTGAAATAACTGCAAATCAGTGTAGGGCCTAGATCTAGATCTAGTGTAGTCAGCAAAAAATAAATTTCACACATCTGGTTAGCGTTGTAAGCAGTTAAAATCTTAATAGAGGATAAAGCACGTTACTGAGTACATTATACCTTTATTTCAGGCCAGCTCGATTTAGCACATTATTCATCCCCCATTATTCACCCGCGGTTTCATTGAACTCGCCTGTTGTTGTTTTGCCGACAGATGGTTACACTGACGCCAGCGTTCGCTTATTCGCATAGACTAGGTGACATCGGATTCGGCGTCGAGAAGTATCGGCTCCAAGCTAATGGGCGATAACATAAAGAAAGCCGAAACTTAAGCGGCTGAAGATCGACTCGGACAGGCGCCAGTAGGTGTCTGCTTGACTCCACATAGAGGGCGCCTATTGCCGATCCCTTTAGGCTCGCGTTGCATTGATCTACTGTTGTCTAGTCTGCCTACATCTACCGTATCTAGAATCTAGTTCTAGGCATTGAGTGATTACAAATTTACAAGAATGGACTCGTCATCCGAGAGGGGGAGGGGGAGAGGAGGAGAGGGGGGAGAGAGAGGGGGGAAGAGAAAGAAGAAGAGAGAGAGAGAGGGGGAGAGGGAGGGAGAGGGTGAGAGGGAGGGAGAGAAAGGGAGGGAGAGAAAGGGAGGGAGAGAGAGGAGAGAGATTATCTTCCTGTGTCCGGTAGAATGTCATATAAAAATGCAATATTACGTCATAAATGTGTCTATAACAAAGCTCCCTTATATCTTAGTGATCTCATCCAGATGTATGTTCCATCTAGATCACTAAGATCAGGCGATCAGTATCTTTTAAGAGTTCCTAGAAAAGGGGGTAAAAAATTAGCTGAAAGATCGTTCTCCCACCTTGCTCCGTCAGTTTGGAACTCTCTTCCCCAACTTTTGAGACATACAACATCTGAGTCTAAATTTTTTTTAAATCTTTAAAGACACATTTAATGACATCTTTTTTTGTCTGTAGATTCAGGTTCAATACAATGTCATGTAAATGACTATGTATCCATTTATGTATTTTGTGAATTGCATTGTGTAGATTATTTTATGCTCATTTCATGACGACGTGTAAGCGTGCGCGTGTTATTTATTTTTTTTGGTAAGTGTTTTACGGCGCTCGCAACTGCATAAGGTCATATGAGCGCGCGGGACACACTAAACTTTTTCAGTTGCTAGGACATTTTGAATTTTGCCCGGGTGGCGGCCGAAGCCTACTCTTATCGATTTTAGACCACCAAGGGATCTTTAACGTGCACAACTTG